TTATTGCCCATTGGTATGGAAGAAATTCTTTCTGACAAGAGCACCGTATGAACAAAGCAAAGTGAAACTGACCTCATCACCACCAATCATATCAGATTGTTTAGTATACTGGGAAAGTTTAGCCTGCCAATGACCTACTTATTTCTTTAAAGGGCACTTCCTAACCAATTCCTTTCCTTAAAAGAGCTCAAAAAATGTTGCTTCTCCAGTTGCATCTTACTGTATATCTCCTAGTTATTTCACCAGATTTTATTAAATTTAATTGTTTTGAAATAAAAAGAGTTATCTTTTAGCGGCCCAACTCATTTTTAGAAACCCACCACCCAACTTCCAACTTCTAATTAGTACATCAAGTAGACAAAATTAATTGGAGAGTATAGCATTTTGTGGTGGAAGTAAAAATAATTGCGATTGAGCACCAAGAGTTTTTACCCAGTTATTGTAGCCACTCTTTCAATAAAATAAAAAGAATGCACATTTCATACAGTGAATACTTTATTCACAGGATAAACCCTTTCACGCTCGCACTTTGTAAACACTGTCGTTTGCTGGCTACCACCACTATTCACAAGACTGTAAGCTCTTTTGAGTAGGGTCCTCATCATCCTATTGTTCCTGTAATATTTTGTAATTGCCTCATTTATTGTTACATTTTCCCCTTTATAATTTTGTAAAGCACTGCAGAATATGTTGGTGCTATATCAATGCCAATAATAACAATAATAGAATTATGACATGAGTACGTAATCTGTAATTTATGTAATCTTCCAGTAGGTGACTGAACTTGTCACACGAGCACACTACTTCAAGTGTTTTCATGAGTTGGTTTTCGGGTCAAAGGGTTAAAGGACCACTATAGTGCCAGGAAAACAAATTTGTTTTCCTGGCACTATAGGTTCTTTAGGTCCCCCCCACCTTCAGGGTCCCACTCCCACTGGGCTGAAGGGGGCTGAAGGGGCTGAAGGGGTTAAAACACTTACCTTTCTCCAGCGCCGGGCTCCCTCGGCGCTGGGAAACTCTCCTCCTCCTGCCGACCTCAGCTCTGAATGCGCATGCACGTCAAAGATTCCATAGGAAAGAATTTCTCAACACTAGAGGGACCTGGCACCCAGACCACTTCATTGAACTGAAGTGTTCTGGGAGCCTATAGTGGTCCTTTAACATTCACTATTTGTCTGAACTAGACCGGAGATAATGATAAAAGCTCCACTTAACACCATCCAAACGTATTTACATTTTTTTTTTTAAAAACTGCCTCCACCAAGGCAATTTATAGAATGGGAAGCCTTGCATTCCCCAAGCAAAGTAGATGGAACTCACAAATACAATTAAGCACAGTATCTCTGCATCTGAACATACTTACAAATTAATAACTTCAGGTAATGTAAATCCAAATACGAGAGCCCCAGGAAAGAATTAAATTATTAATATTTTTATAACAAAAAGACAAAAAGCATTACACAGTGCCAACATGACATAATACAATCAATTCTCACAAATAAAATGGGTCTTTAAAAAAGCGAACCTACACTTATACAAGTATCCCAGATGCTCTTACAGTAGACCAGTGGTAGCACATACTTAAAGGAACACGTATATTTCAGATCCTAAAGTGTTAATAACACTATTTAGGTATCTGGCCTTGCCTTGTCCCCCTTAAAAAGCTCTAAACCCCATTTTATTCAAGCGTTGTGCGGGTCCGCCAATGCTGGCTCTACCCTGCCACCTTAGCTAAGATCATCAGAAATGACAATCTCAGCCAATCTAATGTTTTCTTATGGTAAAGTATTGGATTGACTGAGATAGTCAATTCTGTCGATCTCAGCTGAGGAATTGGGGCGGAGCCAAGCATAGAGCCAAGCAATGAATCAATACATCTCTATGAAGAAAGTTTAGTGTCCCCATGCAGAGCATCTGAGTCACTGTCACTGAAGGTGTCACTAGGCAGCAATGTAAACACTGCCTTTTCTCTGAAACGGCACATACAAATGCCTGCAGGGACTGACTATACTCACCAAAACAACTTCATTAAGCTATTGACTATAGTGTCCCTTTAAGTCCTTTCCATTGTTGATCAAAATAAATTCCAAGAAGAGATCAGTTTCATCTGGGCTGACATTCTGTTATATGTGAATTCTGTTTTCTGTTCCGGAAAAAGCCAGCCCACATGACCAATTTATGACACGTGTCCTTGACATAACTGATGTGCATTTATCTCTTTTGATCCAAAAGCACTTGATTGTTATCTGTTAGGGCACCATATTTTTATGGCAGACTTCTGGCTACAGTCACAGCAGGGGGTGCTCTGTGAGGGTGTTACATCATACAGTCGCAGCCAAAAAAAGACAATTTAGTTTACTTTTGATGCAAAATAACAAAACAGACAATTCATGCTAACCCTGGCAATGCTGGGACAGAATCAAGCTCACTGTGCATGGCAGAACTAAGTTAAACTTTTACTACCAATTTCTACTTTCTTGCATAGTGTGCACTTTCTTCAAAGAAAAAAAAAATATTTCCCACATGGACTCTCTTTTTTTGGAGTCTTTAGGTATTTCAAGGCCATGTGAACCTTTACTCTTCATAACATGAACATAAAGAGAACATATACATTTCGAAACAGGGCATATAAGCACACTTTGGGATCTTCTGCTCTGGGTTAGCTTAAAGAATCTGATACACTAGGAAATATGATTCACATTCTCAATGGAACCTTATTTAGGTAACCCTGTTGCATCTATTTTCCACATCTTTATTTCACATGTTTATTTTTCTTAATTTTTATCTGGCTGTTTATCTATTATTATTGAACCATTATGCCAGAAATTCTTTTCAAAATTAACTCTTCAGGCTGTTGCAGATGTGACCATAAGACCTGAAAGAAGATTAATACAGTACTGATGCGCTCACACACCAATCTCATGTGGAGCTTAATATTTTGTCCACCGTCTTCACAACAATGAAATATGTTTATTGAGTTCACACAGGTCTACCCTTTCGCAATGTTTCATAGTCTCAGGAATGCAGTCAAGCATATTTTAAATTGATGGCTTCCCTGTAAATCCTCTTTCCCACCAAAAAAACAACAACCTGGAAGTAAATTATTAAGACTAAATACATATTTGAAAAACCGACATAAAGTAAATTGCCCTTCGTAACATCAGATTAACTAAAGGAAAATATTAAATTCTACTTTTGTTTAAAGTAGTATTTAAAATAAAAATGTACACTTTAGTTTTCAGTGTTAACCTTTTTATTGATCCCACCTAGTCCAGAATAATATAATTTTCTTATGAATTTAGCCTCTTACGTTACTGATGAGCCATTCTTCTTTCCGTTTTACCCTGGATGGAATTGGGAAGAGTATAGTTGAAAATAGCCCCTTCCCAGACAGTTTTGGTCAGAATTGCTCTGTTTTAACTTTAATAGACATTGTGGTAGTGGTAATATCCCTTTAATTGATGTTGTGCAGTAGAGTGCACAAGAAGGCGCAAGTAAGAAAAAGCTATGCTCCCCAGTGCATAGATTCCCGTTTCATTATTAGACAACATAGTAGCTTGGACTCTCCAATTTCAAAAGTATGCACACTCAATCACGGCAGATATGCCATCATTGGAAGGACCACTGCTTACATCGTCTGTGAAACATGGCACATTAACGAGACAAAAGACGGGGCTTTAGATCTTCAGTTTGTTAGAGCAACATTATGGGTTTTGATGTACCTATACATCATAATCTGAAGTGTTTTCACGTCAGTGGCAAACACTGCTTCATCTCTCATATCATTCTAAAGGACATGTATATTACAACAAAAGATGGTTTATGTGTCTAGCGCACAAACACTATACAATAACAATTGAACTTTGGAGATTTATCATGCTAGATTAATAGTTTATTGCTCATCTTTATAAGTTTACTAGATATTTTTATTTTGCTTTGTTACTCATTTACGCAAGTTATGAGACTTATCAATTTATTTTCATAAGAAAGAATCTACCTGTAAGTGAATTCTGTATTGATGGAAACAAGATACGTTTTTATAATCTGTTGCAGTTTTATTTTTGTAAGAGGCCACCCAACTGCTGCTTTGCCTCTTGCCAAAAAGCAATACAGAAGCCGCACTATAACAATGTCATCTTCTTGGTTTACAAACAGAGAAATTGGCTGGACAATAACAATACTAGGTTGAAATCTCCCCCCAAAATTAAACAGAAGCAATCACTATGTGTACTGAGTCCTGATATATCTGCTAGATAGCAAGACTCTGGAAGATGCTTTGTTGGCAGATGCTGAGATTTCCAAAATTCTATGTGTTTTTTTTTCCACTGATAGATCTCTTGACGCTTGTCTAGTTCAATCCCCTAAGAATACTGGGGAAATTCCTTTAGCTCAGACACACTTGTTTCATGACAAAAACATTTATCTTCTGACTTAAAGATTAGCAGGTTAACTTACAAATCAAGAAACATGAGCTTTTATATTAATAAGTACATTGTGTCTTGTCTAGTTAGAAGGCGTGGGATAAACACTGATGCTCCATTGCCTCTCCTGCCTCCTTGTAAGTGCAAGAAAAAAAGAAAACGACAAGCTAACAATGGTTTGAGTGGCAGAGGTCTAATTTAAGTGACTGCAAATAAGTAACACTAACAAAACCACCGCACAGGGCACACGAAAATGACTGGGAAGGAAGACAACGCATTTTTAAGAGAATGGAAGCATGGAATTTGGTGAGTTGTTCTCACCAAGCATGCAATTATCTTGGTAGGGAAAATCAGACCATATGCACTATACCAAAAACAAAAAACGATGTTAAGTACAATAATGTTTGAATATTGTGGGGCAATAACCACATCTTACTTAATATACTGGAAAATACATAGACTATTCTTTAATCGATTATACATTAATAGAAGTTATTGGGGGTGGAGCCTGACACTCAAACAGCTTGGACACAATTCTCATGAGCTCCTGCAGGTTGACGATTAATCCATTAATAATTGTAGTTACATAGTTACATAGCTGAAAAGAGACTTGTGTCCATCAAGTTCAGCCTTCCTCACATATGTTTTTGCTGTTGATCCAAAAGAAGGCAAAAAACCTAGTCTGAAGCGCTTCAAATTTTGCCACAAACTAGGAAAAAATTCCTTCTTGACCCCAAAATAGCAGTCAGATGTCTCCTTGGATCAAGCAGCTATTACCCCGCTAATTAGAAATTATATCCCTGTATGTTATGTTTTTGCAAGTATTTATCCAATTGCATTTTAAACATCTGTAATGACTCTGACAAAACCACCTCTTCAGGTAGAGAATTCCATATCCTTAGATTTTTCTTTGCCTTAGATGAAATCTCCTTTCTTCCAGCCTAAATGTGTGACCTCGTGTCCTATGTATAGCCCTGTTTATGAATAGATTTCCAGATAAAGGTTTGTACTGGCCCCGAATATATTTGTATAATGTTATCAAATCCCCTCTCAGGCGCCGTTTTTCCAAACTAAACAGATTTTATTTTTTTAACCTTTCTTCATAACTAAAATGCTCCATTCCTTTTATCAGTTTTGTAGCTCTTCTCTGGACTTTTTCTAGTGCCATGATATCTTTCTTTAGAACAGGCGCCCAAAATTGCACAGCATATTCAAGGTGTGGTCTTACCAGCGATTTATAAAGAGGCAAAATCCTTTGGTAAACCATCTGGGTGGAAGTCTACCTACCTTATCTCCCCACCGGAGCTGTTTACCAGCACATGCCTTTCTTATATACCCAAACAGGAAGGAGAAATTGCCAACGTTCAGGGGCCTACCTTGCCCTTCTGCCTGCTAAGGCCTTCACTCTTGATTTGGCACCTACCCTGGAGGCTCTGGGCCCATCCCAGTTGCCTGCCAAGAGCCAACCAAGCAGCACAGACACAATAGAAACATAGAAACATAGAATGTAATGGCAGATAAGAACCATTTGGCCCATCTAGTCTGCCCAATTTTCTAAATACTTTCATTAGTCCCTGGCCTTATCTTATAGTTAGGATAGCCTTATGCCTATCCCACGCATGCTTAAACTCCTTTACTGTGTTAACCTCTACCACTTCAGCTGGAAGGCTATTCCATGCATCCACTACCCTCTCAGTAAATTAATACTTCCTGATATTATTTTTAAACCTTTGTCCCTCTAATTTAAGACTATGTCCTCTTGTTGTGGTAGTTTTTCTTCTTTTAAATATAGTCTCCTCCTTTACTGTGTTGATTCCCTTTATGTATTTAAATGTTTCTATAATGTCCCCCCGTCTCGTCTTTCCTCCAAGCTATACATGTTAAGATCTTTTAACTTTTCCTGGTAAGTTTTATCCTGCAATCCATGAACCAGTTTAGTAGCACTTCTCTGAAATGGGCCAGCGTTCTCAGAAACCACAAGCTAGATCTAATAAAGATATCCGTGACTTATTACAACGCACCACATCCCAGAGAACAAATCAAGAGGCCTGCTCCACATGCTCCGACTTACCACCAGAGACACCAGCAGAACCAACATCACCATTGTCAATCTCCATAGCATTGTCGGATGGGGACCCACTGAATCTCGCTAGCAAAGAGGATATTCACAATATAATGTTGGAGATGAGGCAAATGTTCGCAGCTGACTTAGTGCGGATCGAGGTTCAGACGGTGCACAACCCTTTCAGGACTTAACAAGGAGCACATTGCAATGGAGACGGTCCTTCGGCCTGGTAACTAGCCGGCTGCATACTGCCAGTGTTGAATATGACGTTAGTCAAAAACAACGTCATAGTTAAACTTATCTTACTGTCGGAAGTTGCTCCATTTCTGAAATCACTGGGACTCTCCCCACAGACTTCAACTACAGCAGAACCCTATACTTTACATATGTGGGTTCCTGTAAGGACAGTCCCATTCACACCACGTAAAGGTGAGAGGCTGGGGGCAGCCACATGAAATGCTTTCCGACAATATGACATTGACATTGTTAACGAAGACCAGGAACAGAAATTTTAAATAACTTTTTTTCCTCAGTATATGTTAAGGAGGATTCTATGGCAAGAGATATGCAAATGATTGCCACAAAAACAAAAAAATTGTGATAGTAGTAACAACCCATGGATGTTGGGCTAAGGTAACATCCCCAGGACGTACTTGGAAACCAGAGCAATCTGAATGTACCTTTCCTGGTTAAACACTTTGTTATTATTATTATTATTGAATGACTCAAGACAACGTGCTACAGCAGCTAAAGAAAGCTAATGTAAATAAAGCTCAGGGGCCTGATTGTTCTCACCCATGAGTGTGGAAATAAGTGAACCTCTGTATTTAATCTGTCAAGATTTTTTGTTTCAGGAATTGTACCAGAGGATTGGAGGAAGGCAGATGTGGTTCCTATATTGAAGAAGTAGTAAATATAGATCAGGGTGTTGCAGTGAATGAGATCTACTTGGATTTTGCCAAGGCATTTGATATGGTTCTTCACAATACCGTGTTTCTCCGAAAATAAGACCGGGTCTTATATTAATTTTTGTCACAAAAAACACACTAGGGCTTATTTTCAGGGTAGGGCTTAGAGCCAGTCTGTCAGCCGGTGTCCGAGCTGTGTAACCCCCCCCAGAGACCCTCACCTCCCCCTCCCTGTAATACTCTCCCACCTCCCTCCCTGTAATATTCTCCCCCCTCCCTCCCTGTAATACTCTCCCCCCTCCCTCCCTCCCTCCCTGTAATACTCTCCCCTCCCTCCCTCCCTCCTGTAATATTCTCCTCCCTCTCCTGTAATATTCTCCTCCCTCCCTCCCTCCCTGTATTCTCCCTCTCCCTCCCTGTAATATTCTCCTCCTCTCCCTCCTGTAATATTCTCCCCTCTCCCTCCTGTGTCACTCTCCTCCTCCTCCCTCCCCTCCTGTGGCCTCTCCCCCCCTCCCTCCTGTAATACTCTCCTCTCCCTCCCTCCCTGTCTCCTCCCTCCTGTAATATTCTCCTCTCCCCTCCCTCCCTGTATGTTTCTCCCCTCTCCCTCCCTCCCTCTAATATTCTCCCCCTCCCTCCTGTAATACTCTCCCCCACCTCCCTCCCTGTAATACTCCCCCTCCCTCCCTGTAATACTCCCTCCCCCTTCCCTGTAATACTCCCCCCCCTCCAATCTTCTCCTCACCTGCTCTTCCCTGTAGCGTGGCCGAGCTCCTCTCCGGTCCGCGACTCGGCCGGACTGACAGGAAGTGCACACCCAGGGTGTGCACTTCCTGTCAGTCCGGCCGGGTCGCGGACCGGAGAGGAGCTCGGCCACGCTACAGGGAAGGGGAGGTGAGGCAGTGCGGCAGCCGTCTGAGCGCTCTCTATAACCCCCCAGGGACCTTCACCTCCCCCTCCCTGTAATACTCTCCCACCTCCCTCCCTGTAATATTCTCCCCCCTCCCTCCCTGTA